ACAAAAAAAAAAAAAAAAAAAAAAAAAAAAACGCCTCTCAGGCGTCTCTCACCCAACTCGGCCAAGCAGGACCCTGGATTATGTTCCCCCCAGGAACATACCTTCTGCCCCTGCCTCCCTGCACCTCCTTGAAGTAAAGTTCATCACTGTCCATCCAACTGCTCAGGCCAAATCTCTAGCTCCTTTATTCTTCTCTTTCTTCTGGTGTCCCCACACTTCATCCTATCTCAAGAGCCATCAGATCAGCCTGCAGATTAGGTTCTAAGTCCGGTCTCTTCTCTCACTGTTCATAGCACCTGGTCCTGCCTGCATCTTTACTCACCTGGACCAGTGCAGTCACCTATGGCCTGGTGTCCAGCTTACCCTCTGCCCCGTCCCCTCCCCTGCTGTTCTTAAGGCAGCCAGCAGGATCTGTTAAAAAATAACTCTCAATCCCTTTTTGAAAACTCTCCAGTGCTCCTGTACTGGCCAGCTGCCAATAAATAAATAAAAATAATAAAATAAGTTCGTGGAAAAATAGAATTGAAAGATAATACAAATCTTTCTTTCCATGGACTTCAAAAAAAACCTCTCCAATGGGATTTCCGTACTGGCCGGCTGCCAAAAACAAAAAAGGAAATGAAAACTCTCCAGTGGTTTCCCAGACTCTTAGAATAAAACCCACCCTCCTCACCACAGCCCACCAGGGTGCCTGGTCTGGGCTGTCTGAATTTCTTTCTTAACCTCTCCCTCCCTCATTCCTCGTGGATCACTCTGGTGCCCTGTGTTCATTCATTCGTTCAGCTTGTATTAGTCTGCTCAGGCTGCCATGACAAAATACCACAAACCGGGTGGCTTACACTACAGAAATTTGCATTACAGAGACTGCACGGTAGTGGTTGCCATGCTCCTCTCCACGGTCTCCTTTGTCAGGAGCAAATCAAAGAAAATTCTTTTTTTTTTTTTTTAAAAAAAAGATGACCGGTAAGGGGATCTTAACCCTTGACTTGGTGTTGTCAGCACCACGCTCAGCCAGTGAGCGTACCGGCCATCCGTATATAGGATCCGAACCCGTGGCCTCAGCGCTACCAGCGCCGCACTCTCCCGAGTGAGCCACGGGGCCAGCAAATCAAAGAAAATTCTTTTTTTTTTTTTTAAAAAAAGATGACCGGTAAGGGGATCTTAACCCTTGACTTGGTGTTGTCAGCACCACGCTCAGCCAGTGAGCAAACCGGCCATCCCTATATGGGATCCGAGCCCGGGGCCTTGGTGTTATCAGCATCGCACTCTCCCGAGTGAGCCACGGGGCCAGCAAATCAAAGAAAATTCTAAAGCAGCCTTTGCTTATAACCCAACATCAGAAACCCGTAAGAGTAGTTTTTTGTTGGATTAAAGTTAATGAAAAACAGAACCATTCTGGTAGATGATGAGCCAAGGTGGACAGGACTCTCCTTCAACACCAGGAGCTGACTATGGGAGACCCTGACTCTCCTGCATTATGACTCAGTTGTGAAGAAAAAGTCCTCTTTGTAGAACAGAAAAAAATATGCTCCCTCTAAACAATGGATTGAGGAGCCGGCCCGTGGCTCAGTTGGGAGAGCGTGGTGCTGACAACACCAAGTCAAGGGTTAAGATCCCCTTACCAGTCATCATTTTAAAAAATAAAATAAAATAAACAATGGATTGAAAATGAGTTTGAGGGCCGGCCCGTGGCTCACTCAGGAGAGTGCGGTGCTGATAACACCAAGGCCACAGGTTCGGATCCCATATAGGGATGGCCGGTTAGCTCACTGGGTAAGCGTGGTGCTGACAACACCAAGTCAAGGGTTAAGATCCCCTCACTGGTTATCTTTTAAAAAAAAAAAAAAAAAAAAAGTTTGGTTTATACTTTTTTTTTTTGGCAGCTGGCTGGTATATGGATCCAAACCATGACCTTGAGGTTATAAGGCTGCACTCTAACCAACTGAGCTAACCGGCCAGCCCAGATTTGATTTGATTGATTGATTGATTTTTTAAAAGATGAGCAGTAAAGGGATCTTAACCCCTGATTTGGTGCTGTCAGCACCATGCTTACCCAAGTGAGCCAACCTGCCATGCGTATATAGGGATCCGAACCCATGGCGTTGGTGTTATCAGCACCACACTCTCCCAAGTGAGCCACGGGCCGGCCCCTCAGATTTGATTTATAAATGAGACGACTGAGGGTGGGGATACTGGTTCAGAAACCTTGCAGTGTGTAATAAAAGAAAAGGAAATGGGGCTGGCCAGTTAGCTCAGGTGGTTAGAGCACAGCCTTTATACACCAAGGTCAAGGGTTTGGATCACGGTACTGGCTAGTTGCCAAAAACAGAATCACTGCTTCCTGTGATTTGAAGGCCATTGTGAAGAAAAACAGTGCAGTTAAAGAAAGTTCCTCATATAATTTATTTATCTTTCTAGATATATTTATAGCCCTCAATAAAAAATATTGAAATAGAAAAAACACAAAACACACACACACACAAAACTACAGAAATTATTTTCTCACAATTCTGGAGACAAGAAATCCAAGATCAAGGTCTTGGCAGGTTTGGTTCTTCTTTTTTT